CGACCGAAGAAGCCAACTGCAAACTGACCGTCACGTGCGGGCTCAGGGGGACCTCTGGATGCAAGGAGACCGACGACACCTCGAACCCCTCCGACACAATGAAGAAGTCAATCTTACGCCCTGCTGGTGCACATGTCCCCGACAAAGGCTCAGCAATCACCGCATCGAACCAGTCCATCACACCAGCTTCACGCAAATCATCTGGCTCATTGTTGAAGTCGCCCGCGATGATATACGGTCGCCCAATCATGCGAACCCGCTCTGCAATCAAAAACAGAATCTCCAGATTTGCAGCTGCCATGCCTATCCTGTCGTGCAGGTATACGTTGACCAAGATCACCCCTGCGCTGGTAAACCCAGAGTGCAGACAGTAAGCGGCACGGCCAGGCACAATAATCGACTCAACACCTTCAACCACGCCCAGCCCATACTGCTGAGCACATATGCAAAGTAAGCCACCACTACCAGATCCTCTGCGACCCGCAATACACTCCACCGCAGGAGAAAATGCACAATTCCAGCCAGCCACACGCATACGACAAGACTCATCCTCACAATCTTTAGCGCACAGGTGGGTCTCCTGAACAAGAATAGCATCAGACTGATCCAGAAGCAATTTGCGCACATCAGCATCATCAGAAGCCTGCAGGTCCACAGACGTGGAGAATGTGTTGACATTCATTGTGAGCACCCGCCAGACCTTCGGGTTAGGAACGAGACCCGGAATCACCATCATGTGCGGCACGAAGCTTCTTGCTGGCCTCCTCGCGGAGCTCCTGGATGAGCCTCTTCTTGTCGACGTCCGTGATCGGGAACTCGGGAGCCAAACCGTTGGCCATGCTGCCCCACTCAGCATCCGACAGGTCGTAGGACCGCACCGTCTCCACGGGCACAGGCACGTGCTCCCCGCTGAAGTCGATGACCCCTCCTGCTCCGCCAGACACGCCCGCGGGCGCCGCCTCCGCGCCGCCGCTGCCAGCCGCCGCGCCAGCGTCCGCCCCTGAGCCATCCACGGCACCTCCGCCTTCACTCTCGCGATGGGCCGTGAGCGCCTGCAGCAACGCCGTGAGCGGCTCCGCCAACGCAGCGCCGACCTGCTGCTGCCAGCCAGGGTGCCCATTGAGCACCTTAGCCACATGCGAGGCCGCCGACACCGCCGACTCCGCAGCTGGCGGCTGCGGAGCACGAGCGGCCTTCGCCTTGGCATCCTCCACCATCTGCTTGAGCTCGGCCTCCAGTGTACCCAGCTGGGACCTGGACGACACATACTGTTCCGTGGCCTTCTGCACCGCAATCTTCGCCTTGTCGAACAAAGAGCGAGCCCGCTGCAGTTCAGCCGCCTTGCTGTCGATCGCCTGCTGCACGTTTTTGGCCTCTTTGACCGACACCAATCCCTCAAAACCGTTCTCTCGCTTCCAACGCATATGCTTGAGCTTGTCTCGAGCCGACTGAGAAAGAACAGCTGCGGCCGCATCGAACTGAGCAACTGACATCTCCAACCAGACACGCGCTTGCTCATCATCGAAGGAAGGTGCCGACTGCTGCTGCTGCCCAATCCCGCCTGACTTGGCCTTGCCCTCCTCCGCTTCCTCCCCCCACTCCTAGCCCTTTCGATCAGGGTCGGCGGCACCGGCCGTCAGGCCTCTCCAATAAGCATGTTGGAATTTCCTTGGGGCTCTTCTGGATCTCTTCGGGGTTTCTTGGGGACCTGTTGGCGCATCCTGGGGGTCTCCTGAGGCGAAGATCTTGGCTTTTTGCTTCGCGTTCCCGATCCTGGGCCACGGCTGGGGCCCTCTCGGGCCGTTGTCGACGTCTTTTCAGCCGGTTTGGAGCCGTCGTGGGGCCGTCTTGGGGCGCTTTTGAAGCCTATTGGGCCGTCTTAGGGCGATCCTCGGGGCCTCGTGGGGCGTCTTGCAGCGTCCAGAAGCGGAACAGGCGGAAATGTCAAAATTGCCCAGACACCCAAGGCAAATCAATGTTTCCCAAAGCCGCGGTGGTTTGCCCAGACCCATGCTGCGTCGTCTGCTTTCTGTGTGTCTCTCTCTCTCTCTCTCTTTCTCTATTTTTTTTTCTCTCTCTCTCTCTCTCTGTCTCTCTCTTTTTTTGTTTGTTTTTCTCTCTCTCTCTCTCTCTCCCTCTCTCCCTCCCTCCCTCCCTCCCTCCCTCCCTCCCACCCTCCTTCACTTTCCTCCCCATCGGATTTCCTGGCCTGCCAGCGGGCCTCCGATGACCGCAGGCCTGCCGACGGCGCCCTGGGGAGCAGCCCAGAAAACCAAGAAAACCAAGAACCAAAACAACACAAGGGAAAGTCAAGAAAACGACGCCGCCAATCAAGACAACCAAGAAAACCAATGCTTCTTGGTTTTCTTAATTGTCTGGCGCGTGTTCTTGGTGTTTCCTTGTGTTTTCTTGTGTAATCTTGGTTTTCTTGATTTACTGGCCTGCCAGCGAGCCTCCGATGACCCCAGGCCTGCCGACGGCGCCCTGGGGAGCAGCCCAGAAAAACATGATCGACCCACGAACCCGCAAAAGGAACATAGAAATGTAACGCGTGACAACGTTTTCAAAGACACCTCATTGGGTTACGGGCAAATGCAATGCTGAGTGTATCGATATTGATGAACCGTGCCGAAATGTGCGCTGTGCTGCGCCGTGCTGAATTGCGATGTGCCATGCCGCGATTGTGCTCTATAGCCTCGTGGATCGAGTCCTCCTTTGCATCCGAGTCCTCACCGAGCTGATCTGGATCTTAAGCTCGAGCTGCCTGAGCACATAGTAGCTGCCCCAGAGCTAATTGACAGGGGAACATGCCAGGAGGACGCGACGCGGAACGTCTCAAGGGACGCCCCAAGCGACGTGCTAAGGGACGTGCCATGGGGACGCACCGCGGGACGTGCCAAGGGGACGCGCTACGGAACGTGCTGGGGACAAGCATTTCGCTCGAGACATCTGGTCAACGTCCTCAGAATTCCTGCGCGCGGGACGCGGCGCGCGCGAGACATCCTCGGAATTCCAGCGAGCGGTATGTGAAAACGAGCATTTCGCCTGAGCCATCCTCTGAATTCTGGCCCCCGCTCCAGACATCCCCCAAGATTGCAAAACCAGCATTCCGCTCGAGACGTCCTCAACACATGGTGAAACAAAACAAGCATTTCGCTTGAGACATCCTGCCAACATTTACAGAAATCCTAGAAACAAACAGACGAATTAGTCGAGACATCCTCGAAATTCCTGCGCGCGGGACGCGGCACGCGCAAGACATCCTCGGAATTCGTGCGAGCGGGACGTGAACACAAGCATTTCGCTGGAGACATCCACTGAATTCTAGCCCCCCCACAAGGCCCCCGTTCGAGACATCCCCTAATTTTGCAAAACCAGTGTTTCGCCAGAGACATCCTCAACAAATTATGAAGAAACAAAGCGTTTCGCTCGAGACATTGTTTCAGCTCTCTCATAGAATAAAGTTGGCGAAGAGATGAAGTTTGCTCCTTTTCTTGAGCCATAATCACATGTGCGGGATTCTCGCGCGGCAGCGCGCGGCCAGCTGTCTCTTGCACCGAACAGGTACCCCTCGCAGATTTGTCCACGGGACGAGCACCTCTCCTCGGGGTCGCTGTGCGCGCGAGCGGGCATCGTCACAAAAGCGGCGACTGAACCCTCATCCACGGTCCGCTCCTTCGTGATCAGCGGAGGAGCTCTCGTAGGCGGTCCACGACCTCCGTGGTGGTGGTGACCATCTTCTTGATGTCATCCCCGCTCGCCAGCATGCGAGCACGCCACGTCACGTCGATCCCGTGGTCTTTCAACTCCATCGTCAGCTGGGTGAGAATCTGCATCTCCGTCGGGCTGGTGTCCCTGGCGTTCTCGATAAGCTCCTCCTTCTTGGTGTAGCCCCTCTTCAGCGCCAGGGCCCGCCTGCCTAGCAGCTCCCTCAGCTCCTCAACAGTGTAAGCACCGTGCAGGCGGTGAACGTCCCCCGTGATCTGCATCTTGTCATCGAGCCTCGGGCGCGCCTTCAGCTCGGAACGTCCCCCATGCGGTGTCCAGCTCCTGCCTATCATAGCCACTACTGGGTCCTCCTCAACTGTCCGAGCGGCGGCCTTGCGCCTGCCCATGTGCCAGCCGATGAGGTAAGCTGTGGATCACAGCACCACTGCCATGCTGAGCAGCAGCCAGGGAAAAGGCTCTGACTGCTCCAGCGTCTGCTTCTCGATCTCCAGACTCGTCACGCATTGATCCTCGGCCCTCGTCGTTCCCGTGTTCATCATCAGGGTGGCGACGATCATCGGGGTCCGTGTCATCCTCAGGTTCAGCTCATGGAGGTGAGTCGCCATGCTGTCCTTGTCCACGTACTTGGTCAGGATGTCCGCCACCATCTTGCGCGTGTCCTCTTTCACGAGCTTGAACATCTGCAGTCGGATCCGTTCTTGCACCCAGAGGTAACGGAGCTCCAAGTGGCGTACGTTGCCCACTCCATGCCTCTGAGCCATGCCTCGTGCGGCTGTGCTGCCCGAGGCCACTGCCAGGCCCACCTCGATCTCGATCTCGCCCAGGAAGAACTTCATCTGCAAGCCTCGAGCCGCGACCGACCCCAGGGCTTAGAACTCCGACTCGCCACTGCTCAAGGCCTGAGTGGCCTGGCTGGCCGAGTAACACTCCAAGGTGTGGTTGCCCGACCTGATCACTCCACCAGATGTACTCTTCCGGGCCACGGATGTTGGAGCAGCCCAGTCGGCATCTCCATCAGCTCTCAGGATCTTCGGGAGCCCCTGCAGCTCGTAGCACCAGACCAGAACCTGATGGCCCTCCAAATGGCGCGCTAACCTCATGAGCCTGGCGTTCATCTGGTAGCTCGGCTTGCTCACGCCTTGCATGATGGTCTTACTCGCGAACATGATATCGGGCCGATCTGCGGCCAAGTAAAGTGCCAATCCTCCTGCTGATGCCGTCTTGCGTCCCTCCGCCGTGGGCATGAGGTCCAGTGCGTTGCGTAGCTGAGCTCATATCGCCTTGGTGCCAGGCGTGTCGACCATCTTCGCGCCCTCCTTGATGATCTCCGAAACGTGCTTCGGGTCGGCGTGCCAGAAGAAGCCTGGCAGTAGTGTCTCGGGCAGTTGGTCGACGTAGCCACAGCTGCGCTTGAGGTAGCGGGCCACTCCAGGATGTCCAGGACCGAGTGGAGGAGATGAGGTGATCTCGTACTCCGTGCTCAAGACTTCGTCCAGTTGGTCCAGCGTCGCGATGTGGCCCTCTGCGATGAAGTCGTCGCCATGCACCCCCATCGTAGCGTCGTTGCCGTCGCCGCAGAGGTTGGCGAAGTAGAACATGCCTGGCGCGCCCTTCAAAGCCTTGCCTCCTGCGTCGTCCGAGGTAGCCTTCACGCTCTCACCCCGCAACTGGCTAGCCAGGCGGGTCCTGCACAGCGCCTTGAGCAACTCCCAGCAGCAGCCTCGCTCGCAGAGCTCGCTCCCTGGGTGAACGTAGATCTTCTCGTGCAGGTCGCTGTTGAAGAACGCCTTGCGGACATCCCAGATGCGGATGCACCGTCTGTGCTTCCCGTCCTTGTCTGGCTTGCTGGCGGCTAAGCTCAGGATCGATCTGATCATCGCCAGCGGCGGGGTGCCTTGGTGGTTGTCCTCTCGATGCTGATGGGCCACCTCGGTCGCCACGAAGCGCCTGCGCACCTCGCCAGCCTTCTCATGAGCAATAGGGAATCCTCCCACATGCTTGCCTCCAGGCACGCAGTCGGCGATGCGGATCTTGCGGTGCACGCCGTGCTCGGCCATGGCCTGGAGTTCGTCTGCCTTGCCCTTCTGGTACTTGATTTCGTCGAGGGGCTCTCCAGTGTAGTAATCGTAATGGATCTTCGCGGCAGGCTCAGGCTCCCGGCTCCAGTCGCACCGTTCAGATGTCCGGCGTCTCGACCGCGGCGCGCACAGGCTAGCCGCGAACTCCGCGTCAGGGTTGAGCTTCTTGGCAGCTCCGATGAGGCACCTCCTGCACGCGCGCTCTCCGTCGCGATCGCATCGGCAAGCGCAGCGCCCCACACGGCCCTCGCACAGGCCGTCACACCGCTCAGCAGCCTTCGGGATCACGTCCCAAGGCGGGCCCTCCTCCTGGTCATCGTCCTCCTCGCAGACTGCCAACTCGCAGACCGAGAGGCCTGCGAGGAGCACCACCTCGGGTGCCTTCACCAGGGTGCCGATCCGCTGTCGCTTGTTCGGCTCGATGATCTCCTGGACAGGCTCCCGCGCGGGCGCTCCAGACTTACAGATGTCCATCCCGTGTGTAGCGGATGCGGCCGCGGGTGTGGGTGAGGTAGGAGCTGCGGCTGATGCTGGAGTGCTGTCCTGTGCCAGCGGCTGCCCTGTGGCTCCGTCTGCGGCTGCTCGAGATTGAACAGGCCCTTGCTGTGGAGCTTGGGTTCCGGGTGCCACTCCGCCCTCGGTCTCCTCCAAGAGCTTCGCCCCCAGCCTCTCCTGCGCGATCGTCTCGAAGCGCTGCCTGCGCTGGCCACTGTGCTGGCCCTTTCCGCAAGAGCACTTGGGGCAGTTGTCCGTCGGCCCATGCGCGTTCAGCATGTTCTCGGTGATATACATGGACTTCCTGATAATCGACTTCACTCTCTCAGGTACTGGGGCCCAGGGCGCGACGTCGATCTGCTTGACAAGCTCGGCGTTCCAGCGGAACTCTTCGGGCATGCGGCGGACTGCGCGCACCTTCAGGAGGCCCCGCTGCAGGTCCACCACCAAGTGCTGGTCGTCAAACTCCGACTTGCCGACCCAGATGCCCTTGGCAAAGCGCGCCTCGAACTTGCCCTGGCCCGCTGCAACGCGGGGCGCGATGCGGCGCCATGCCTGCTCGCCGACCTCCGCGACCTCGCCAGTATACTCTCGCCCGAAGAGGTACTTGTAGCTGGATCCTCCGCGGCTCCTCGGCTGGAACCTCGCGATGTACCAGCCGACCGCGTTGGCCAGGAAGGCGAGGCTGGAATCCGTGAGCTCGAGCTTGCAACCCTAGCTTGGTCTCGAGGGAAAACCGCAGCGTGCGAAGTAGTCCCGCAGCTGCTCCATTGCTGGCCTCAATGCGCCCCATGCTCTTGGATGAGTACGCTGGGCCTTGCCGCGCCGCCGTGGAGTGCGACCTGAGCTTCTTCACCCGCTCCGCCACGGCAACGATTGCGTTCTCGCCATCCGTGAGCAGAATCACAGTCGTGCGGCCCCAGCTGTCGATGAGCTTGGCGACGCAGTGCGCCTTGTAGTCGCCCATCTGCTTGGAGCCGAACAGCGTGGCAGACGCGTTGGACCTGCAGTCCGCGACATTCAGGATCGCGGGCATCTCTCCCCGCCCCTTCTGCTCTAGCTTCCGAAAGTCAACGACCTTGACGACGTAGCCATTCATCACGGGGCACTTCCTGGCGATCTCGTCCGTAGCCACGAAGAAGAAGTCCATCTCCACAACGGGGTACTCGCCCTCCTTCTTCTCCTCTGAGCTCGTCTCGTGGAGGGCGCCCTTCCCGCGGCCCATGGCGCACTCGCTGCACCGTGACCTGAACGGAAGATGATGTGCTACGTGAGCTCTCCTCTCCTCCGCCGAGGGTTGTCCTGGCCTGGAGAGTTCCTTCGCTTTCAGGGTGACGTTCTCGCTGGGGCCTGGTCCAAGCGCCGTCGGTCGCTGCCGTCGGTCCTGCGTGTCTGGCACCTGCGCTGGCAGGGTCTTGCGCGTCGCGCCGATGTACAGCTGCTCGCCCAGCTGCTCGTCGCCGACCTCCTCGAAGTTGTCTGGCTCGGCAATGGCCGCCATGCGCGCCGCGCGTTTGCCTGTGGCCCCGCTGTCCAGCATCTCGTCGTACTCCAAATAGCACGTGCCTCGATCCTTCGTCCGCTTGAACGAGCTCGCTGCCGTCGGAAGTGAGATCGGGCTGTCTACAATCCAGTCGCCCAAGGGGGAGTGGATGACCGACTTGCCCTGCTTGGTGATCGCGTCGGTAGACAGCACGGGGAACTCAACGTCGGCGGCCTCCGCCGAGATCTGGATCACGCCCTGGCCCGTCTTGAGTCGGACGTCCGTCCTGCCGTAGTGCTGGGCCTGCGTGCCGTCGATGGCCTGCAGCTGGGAGATGCGCGAGCTGGCGAGCTCGTAGCCCTTGTCCTTCAGCATCTTGTAGGGGAACGCTGTGACCTGATCTCCAGAGTCGACCATGATCCATTGGACTCCACGGGCGGCCGCGATACGAACACTGTCTCCGTCATCTCTGCCTCTCGAGCGCGCGCGCCCTGCGGACCTCGACCCCTGCTTCGACATCTCCACCGACAGGGCAAATATGCACTTCGGCTGGATCGTGTCCTGATCTGCGAAGAGGCCGTTGGTCCCTCGCACCCCTAGCGGCATCGCGGGTAGCGCGCTCGCCGTCGACGTTGCTCCCGAGGAGCCTGGTCCCGTCAGCTGCGTCATCGCGTACACTGCGTTGGGTGTCAACGTCTGCGAACTCGGGCTGGTGCTCGGGCCCTGATGATGATGAGCTCCGCGAGGCCCCTGAGCTCCCGCTGCGGCAAGTGCTGCCGTCGTGGCTCTCCGCTGCTTCTTCTCGTCCTTGGCCTTCGTCTTTGCCTCGGCCTTGGCTTCCGTCTCGCGCTTGAACTTGCGGCAGTCGTCCTTGACGTGATTCGGCTTCTCGTAGTGACTGCACCACCTCCTCGGGTGGTTCGGCTTGTCCTTCGCCTTCGGCTCGAACCTGTTCTTGCCTTTGTCTTTGTCCATGTCGCCCTTGCCCTTTCCTTTCCCCTTCGGCTTCCCTTTCAACGCATTGATCCCCCATCGGGTCGTCATCGAAGCTACGCTGGGCCTCCAGGGCGCTCAGGACTTCATTCTTCACCTCGGGGTAAGTGGCGAGGTTGCGAAGGTTGCGGAAGACGTGCTTCTGCAAGCCGCTCTCTTTCTGCAGCGCGCCGAGCAGGAGCCCCTTCTTGATGTTGTCGCTCACCTGCTCGTCGGCCGCCTTCTCGTACTTGCTGATCTCGAGATCCAGCTTCTCTATCTCGTTGGCCACGTCCGCGTTCGTCGGGAACCGTGTGGGCATCAGCTGCCTCATGCGCGCGACCACATTGCCAGGCTCGTTGGGCTCGTACTCGGCCTTCAGGCATACCCATGCTTGACCACCTTCACCGTGCAACACGTTGCGCATGATGGTCTCTCCTGCAGAGTCTTCTGGCATCGCCAGCACTAGCAGCATGTAGTAGAGCCGTGTCGAGAGGTCTTCCCAGTCCACGTCGTCGACACTCATGGCGGCAGTCTTGGCATCGTCGAGATGCTCCAGGTCCTTCTCATCTAGCTTGTCGAAAAAACTCCATGTAGCGCTTGTCGTTGGCCACCATGTAAGCTCTCCAGTGAAACTCCCAAGTTGACCAGCTGCTTCTGGTCCCGTCGAACTGCTTGACCTTCCCCATGATCTTCGCGTCCAGCACGCCCTCGAAGCGCTGCGCGATGCGCACTGCTGGTGCTGCTGGTTGGGCCTGCTGCTGTTGCTGTCGTTGATGAGCTTGTAGCTGCTGCACCGTCGCGAGCAGGTCTGCTATCTGCTGCTGCTGAGCCAGCAGCTGCGCCTCCATGGCTGCACTCTGCTGTTATGAGAGTCGCGCAGCGGGTTTCGGTCCACGAAACTATCCTCAGCTCCGCGCTACCATGTTTCAGCTCTCTCATCGAATAAGATTGGCGGAGAGATGAATCTTGCTCCTTTTTCTTGAGCCATAATCACATGTGCGGGACTCTCGCGCGGCAGCGCGCGACCAGCTGTCTCTTGCACCGAACGGGCACCCCTCGCAAATTTGTCCATGGGACGAGCAGACATCCTGTCAAAATCCAAAGATATCCTGGCAAAACAACTGGATTAGTTTAGACATCCTCAAAATTCTTGCGCGCGGGACGCGGCGCGCGCGAGACATCCTCGGAATTCACGCGAGCGGGATGTGAAAACAAGCATTTCGCCTGAGACATCCTCTGAATCCTGGCCCCCCACGAGGCCCCCGCTCGAGACATCCCCCAATTTTGCAAAACCAGCGTTTCGCTCGAGACATCCTCAACCAATGATGAACAACAATCATTTCGCTCGAGATATCCGGCCAAAATTTAAAAATATCCTAGAACAACGAACGAATTAGTCGAGACATCCTAGAAATTCCTGCGCGCGGGACGCGGCGCGCGCGAGACATCCTCGGAATTCATGCGCGCGGGGCGTTTTTCCGCGTGGCGGTCGGCTCTGCAAAACCAGCGTTTGGCTCGAGGAATCCTCAACAAATTTTGAAAACAAGCGTTTCGCTCGAGGCATCCCCAACTATGCAAAACCAGCATCTCGCGCGAAATATCCTCAACAAATTTTGAAAAACAAGCGTTTAGCCTCAGACATCCTCAAACATAATTCCGCCGGCCCACCTCGACATCGATATCTATCAAAGAATAATTCCGCCGGGAAAAACGCAAGGGAAAATCAAGAAAACGACGCCGCGAATCAAGAAAACCAGTAACATCACATGTTTTTTTTGTATTCTTGATTGTCTGGTGCGTTTTCATTGTTGTTCCTCGTGTTTTCGTTGTTTTCTTGATTTTCTGGCCTGCCAGCGAGCCCCCGATGACCCTGGGCCTGCCGACGGCGGCCTGGGGAGCAGTCTAGAAACTAAGAAAACACGAAGGACAATCAAGAAAACGGCGCCGCCAACCAAAAACACAAGGAAAACCAATGCGATTTCTGGTTTTCTTGATTGGCTGGCGCGTTTTCTCTGCGTTTTTTTTTTTGTTTTGTGTTTTTTTGGTTTCCTTTGTTTTCTTGATTTCCTGGCCTGCCAGCGGGCCTCCGATGACCCCAGGCCTGCCGCCGACGGCCCGCCCCCGGGGGAGCTGCCTTGAAAGTTCAGAAACCCAGAGAATCCAATACCGGCGAGAACTAGGTCACCCCCAGGGGCGCGAGTAAAACCGCACTTCGCGCGACGCGGCCCGGGCCGGAGAGACTCCCTTTTCCAAGGCGGCCTCGCGAGGGCGCGAAGATAATCGCGCGTCGCGCATCGCGGGGAGCGACACGCGAAGTCAGGTGACCCAGGAGAAAGGGCTGCGGGCACGCTAATTAGATGATCGTGAATGCCTCTGGGGTTGCTTGGGGCTCACTTGGGCCGTCGCGACGCTATCGTGGGCCCTGGCCTCCGGGCCTTCGGGCTGCAATGCCCATTCGAGGTAGGAGGAGGAGGAAGAAGAGGAGGAAGTGGGGGGAGGATACCGCACTCGTTGGCGGACGCCGCGCTCCAATGGGCGCCAGGCGCGCTCGACAGCAAGAGCAGCCGCACGGTGGCCGCCCAGGCGCCTGAAAACCAATGCGCCCCCACCAAGAGGCTCTCGGGGTGCACTGCAGGCGCAAAAGAAGGGTTCAGTAGGGCGGGGGGAGAGGGAACGACAAAATGCGAGAGGCAGCATGGAACACTCTGTGGTGCTCGACTGTGCTGCCCAACCCCCCCTCAACCCACGATAAAACGACGAAGCCTGGCAAATGAACCTCGGGGTCAGAGGCCAGGACGAGTGGTCTAGCAACGGTTAGGGTGGACAACCTCCACCCCCGCGAGAGACCACAGAGGGGCCCATCCACACATGCAGCGCACCTTCCCCCACAACTGGGGTGCCTGATACACGTGCAACCACGCATGCGCACAGCCGTACTTAGTACAAACAGGCGACGCCAGGACGAATCGGCAATGCGTACTGCTACTGCCTACCCGATCGCGCCCTCGGGGCTCGGAGCCGCAGTCTGCGGGGCCAATGGGCAGGTCCTCAGCAGGAGGAGGATCAGCAAGAGGAGGACAAAGGGAACGACGACAGTCATTACCCACGACCGCCCGATACTGCACCCCCCCCCCCCGGGCCGCGCTGGAACAACACGAAGGCCGTCGTGTCCTTCCGGCGTCCAGACTTCTGGACTCTGCCCTTCATGGCGCCGAACTCCTGACGGGGGCCAAGGGTAGACATGCAGAAGAAGGGTGGACGAGAGATGAGGGGGCAAATGAAAGGAGGAGGTGGAGAAGACAAGGAAAATGGCGTGGCTGATAGCGGCGATGTCTCTCAACCGATGCAATGAATCACGGGCACGTCCGCTGGGAGCCGAAAGAAGCGGCGGGCACTACCCATCGAGACTGGAGTCCCAACTGCGTGGCCGGCCCGCCTGCGTATCCACCACCTGACGGACCGACGTGCCATGCCGAATTGAACTTTCTAGCTCGCCGACCCGCAAGATCGTCCCAAGACGCCCAAGATGGCCTCCAGACGGCCCAAAACGCCGCCAAGAAGCCCCAAGAGAGCCTCAAGAGGCTCTCCTAGAGAGCCTCAACAAGCAACCAGTGTCCCATTCCCCTCCGAAAACGTACATGTTGCGCCTTTACGACGCTTCGAGGTCCAGCGCGTCCAACACTGCCCAAGAGACCTTCAAGATCGCCCCAAGACGGCCCAACAGACTCCGAAAATGGGCCCAACACGGCCCAAGATGGCCCCAAGACAGCCGACGAGGCCCCCTGGACAGCCCAAGACAGTCCTAAGAGGGGCCCCATCGGGGGAACTCGAATTGAACTTTCTAGCTTGCCGACCCGCAAGATCGTCCCAAGACGCCCAAGATGGCCTCCAGACGGCCCAACACGCCGCCAAGAAGCCCCAAGAGAGCCTCAAGAGGCTCTCCTAGAGAGCCTCAATAAGCAACAAGTGTCCCATTCCCATCAGATAACGTACATGTTGCGCCAGTACGACGTTTCGAGGTCCAGCGCATCCAACACTGCCCAAGAGACCTTCAAGATCGCCCCAAGACGGCCCAACAGACTCCCAACTAGGCCCTAGATGGCCCTAGATGGCCCCAAGACGGCCCACGAGGCCCCCTGGACAGCCCAAGTCAGTCCCAAGAGGGGCCCCATCGGGGGAACTCGAATTGAAAGTCCTGGCTTGCCTACCTGCGAGATCGTCCCAAGACGCCCAAGATGGCCCCCAGACGGCCGATGACGCCGCCAAGAAGCCTCACGAGAGCCTCAAGAGGCTCTCCTAGAGAGCCTCGAACACTAGAACCTCGACTCGGATCGAAATGGACCTGCCAGGCGCCTCTCTCAACACAACCCCACGATGGCCCAAGACGGCTCCCGAGATGGCCCAAGAGGCGGCCACACGGGCCCAAGAACGTCCCGAAACGGCCCCTAAGAGGGGCCGAAGAGCCCCCACCATCGCCCCAGGCGGCCCAACATTGCCTCAACACGGCCCAATAGACCGCCAAGACGGCACAAGAGGCTTCATCTCCTCCTGCTCCTCATCCTCCGCTTCCGCCTCCTCCTCCTCCTCCCTCCTCCTCCTCCTCCTCCTCCTCCTCCTCCTCCTCCTCCTCACTCTCCTCCTCGTCCTCCTCATGCTCCTCTGCCTGCGGTCGCATTCACAAGCCGCCACTCTCCAAAACGGAAAGGCTCAAACTTACGACGAAGAGCTCCGTTCTGAGACATGGCCCCACAACGACCATCCAGAATCATCAACCCCTCACCGACACAAGCAAATCACCGACCAGACCCGTGATCACCCACGATTGCCCCTGGACGACCCCGCCAGAATCTGCGACGAACACCCGAAACCAAATCCACAGCCACTGCGACCCCCTCAGGAATACTCCCCCAAATCGACAGAGGTGCGACAATAAGGGCCGGCGGAATGAACGACGCGACTAATAAACTATACCATGATCGACCTATAAACGCGGAAAGTAGTATAGAAATGTAAGGCATGGCAATGCTTCAAGGACACCTGATTAGGCGACGGGTAAGTTCAATGCTGAATGTATCGATCTTGGTGTACTGCGCCGAGGGTTGTGCTATGCTGCGCCATACTGAATTACAATGTACCAACCATACCACGATTATACTCAATAGCGTTGTGGATCGAGTCCTCCTTTGATCTGGATCGCAAGCTCGAGCTGCCTGAGCACATAGTAGCTGCCCCACAGCTCATTGACAAGGGGACATGCCAGGCGGACGCGCCGCGGAACGTTCCAAGAGGCACGACAGGCGACGTGCCAGGGGACGTGCCATGGGGACGCACCGCGGGACGTGCCAAAAGGGACGCGTCAAGGAACGTGCCAATGGACGTCCCAAGGGACGCGCCGCGCGAAGAGCCAAGGGGACTCGCCACGGGACGCGCCACGGAACGTGCCAAGTTGCAATGCTGAATGTATCGATCTTGATGTACCGTGCCGAGAGGTGTGCGTTGCTGCGCCGTGCTGAATTGCGATGTGCCAGGCCGCGATTATGCTCTATAGCGTTGTGGATCGAGTCCTCCTTTGCATCCGAGTCCTGACCGAACTGATCTGGATCTTCAGCTCGAGCCGCCTGAGCACACAGTAGCTCCCCCAGAGCTAACTGACAAATGAACATGCCAGGAGGACGCGCCGCGGAGCGTCCGAAGGGACGCGCCAGGCGACGTGCCATGGGACGTGCCATGTGACGCACCGCGGGACGTGCCAAAAAGGGCGCGCTGCGGAACGTTCCGATGGACGTGCCACGGGACGCGCCACGGAACGTGCCAAGGAACGTGCGAGGCGACATGTCAGGGGGCATACGCGTCGTTTGAGCTCGGGACAACCATGTTAGATACCCTCCTGTGTGGGACGTGGTTTCAGCTCGGGACCGCCATGTTGGATACTCCCTGAGTGGCGCGGACAAGTGCAAACACGCGGTTCCAACGCGGGACCACCATGTTAGATACCCACCTGGGTGCCGTGAACATGTGAACACACGTGGTTCCAGCTCGGGACCACCATGTTAGATACCAGCCATTGGTGGCCTGCACACGTGAAAACATGTGGTCCCAGCGCGGGACCACCATGTTAGATACCCACGTGATTCCAGCTCAGGGCCACCATGTTAGATACCCCCTTGGGTGGCCTGGACACGTGAAAACACGGCTCCAGCGCGCGGCCACCATGTTAGATACACCCTCTGGGCGACCTGGGCACGTGAAAACACTTGGTTCCAGCGCGGGGCCACCATCTTAGACACCTCCTGGGTGGCCTCGACAGGTGAAACACGTGCTTCCAGCTAGGGACCACCATGTTAGATACCCACCTGGGTGGCCTGTACACGTGGAAACACGTGGCCCCAGCGCGGGACCACCATGTTAGATACCCACCTGGGTGCCCTGGACACGTGAAAACGTTAGATACCCACCTGGGTGCCCAGGACATGTGAAGCGACATTGTTCCAGATCGGGCGCAACATGTTAGATCCCCCCTGTGTGGCCTGGACACGTGAAGACATGTGGCGCCAGCGCGGGGCCACCATGTTAGATACCCCCTCTGGGCGATCTGGGCACGTGAAAACACGTGGTTCAAGCGCGGGACCACTATGTTGGATACCCCACTCCCGTGTGGCCTGGGCACGAGAGAACACGCGGTTCCAGCTCGGGCCCACCATGTTAAATCCCTACCTGGGTGCCCCGAATACGTGAAACGACGCGGTTCCAGCTCGGGAACACCATGTTAGATAGCCTCCTGGGTGCCATGGGCACGTAACAACAAGTGGTTCCAGCTCAAGGCCACCATGTTAGATACCCCCTTGGGTGGAGTGGGCACGTGAAAAATGTGGTTACAGCGCGGGACCACCATCTTAGACACCCCCTTTCCTGTGTGGCCTGGACACGTGACCACAAGCGGTTCCAGCTCGGGCACAACATGTTAGATACCCACCTGGGTGACCTCGGCACGTGAAAACACGTGGTTCCAGCTCGTGACCACCATGTTCGACACCCCCTGGGCCCTCCTAGCGAAATCCCTGCAAAAAACCAACGAATTAATCTAGACATTCTCCAAATTCCTGCGCGCGGGACGCGGCATGCGCTAGACATCCTCGAAATTCCTGCGCGCGACGCTTTTCTGTGTCGCGGTCGGGGTTCCAAACATTGTTTCTTTCGAAGTTTGTGCTACAAAAGGCCCCGCACCCTCTTTTTCACGAAGGAAAGCTATTGTCCGCGCACCCCGTTATTTATTGATGATCCGAGATGGGGGGCAAACTTTCCTCGAGCGGCACGCGGAAAACGCACTTGTTCAACTGACAAGTCACACTTCACCTTGTAATTTATAACAAAATGAATCCGCCGGCCCTACAGCCGTCGATTCCAGGGGTAAACCTTTGAAGGAGAACCCGGGGCCCGAGCCCTTTCTGGGAAAAAAGCCAGTCTCTGAGGACATCCAGGGCATTCGGCGCTTGCTTTGGCTGCTGATCGCGCTCCCACGTTTTCTCTCTTTCTCTGTCTCTCTCTCTCTCTCTTCTCTGTCTCTCTCTTTTTCCCCGTCTATTTCACAATAGCCAATAACAAATCGCAGGTGATGGGGGAGACGCGAAAATATCGGGAATGCCACCATTTCACATCGTTGGGCCGCTAATCACCACGGGGGTCCAGCCAGGCTCAATACAAACATTCCCGATTTTGACACTCAACTTATTGTTCTTTTCTTGGCGAGTGTCAACCTCTTCATGGTCGAGATACTCAGCCGATGCTGTTCCACCCTGGCTTACGCCGCGCACGCAAGAAGCGCGGTGCCCAGAAAGCATGCCGCGCCGCCGTAGCCGTGCCGCCCGATCCTCGCACAACCATCCAGGCCGCTGGCCGTCGGTGTGGACCGGTCACCTTGCAACGCCAATAGCACAGAGACCGCTGATGACAAACTGGGCTCGCGCGCACCTGGCTCCGCCTGCCGCCCTTGGCTCCGCCCGGCTCCGCCTGTCTGCGCAGGGTGATGACAAAACTGAAGCATGTTCTGGCGCACTGCCAGCGGGTCGTTGCCCACTGGCAGCTCTATTGCCATCGCAGCCCAGCGGGATTCTCTGCACTAGGCTCGATCAATACAGCCTGCCAAATCACACGGGCCCCATCGGCTGTCTTGGACTGTGCAGGGGCAAGAGGGGAGGTAAAAAAGAAAAGGCTACGACACTGCACGTGCTGTGGAGGCGACGGCTGGGGATGCTAAGTGCTACTACCTCCTGAGCAGGCTATGCAACCAGTCCCACAAATTCTGCGAGGCCTCTGATTCATCGATAATATGTTCACCACAATCCCAAACAGCCTCGTCCGTCTTGACCCACCCGTCCTCCGTCCACATGGAATTTGGGTCGCAAGTTTGGTTGCACGAGAACCAGTAGTCGTTCTTCTTGTAGCACTTCGCGTCAGGATCAGCGCAGCACTGGGACAGTGCGCAAGACGCTCCGTTCGGAGAGCATGGAAGCCGAGTCTCCTCACAATCCCAAACTGTCTGGTTCGTCGTGACCCATCCGTCCGCCGTCCACATACTGTTGGGGTCGCAAGTTTGGTTGCACGAGCTCCAATGGTCATTCTTCTTGTAGCACTTCGACCCAACCTCAGCGCAACACATGGTAATTGCGCAAGACTCCCCGTTCTGCGAGCAAACGGAGGCTGTCGCAACGTCGGAGCTACTCGCGGCGTCTGCCGACACATCAGTGGCAGCGGCAATACTGACACCGGAGTCAGTCGAAACATCGGTACTGTCGGTGCTGATGACTTCGCAATCCCAAACTGTTTCGTTCGTCTTGACCCAACCGTTCTCCATCCACATGTAGTTTGGGTTGCAAGTCTTGTTGCACGCGAACCAATAGTCATTCTTCTTGTAGCACTTCGCGCCGGGATCAGAGCAACACTGGGTAAGTGCGCAAGACGCCCCGGTCTCCGAGCACGGCGGCCGAATCTCCTCGCAGTCCCAAACTGTCTCGTTCGTCTTGACCCAGCCGTCCTCCTTCCACATGTAGTATGGGTTGCAAGTGTGGTTGCACGAGCTCCAATGGTCATTCTTCTTGTAGCATTTCGCGCCTGGTTCAGAACAGCATTGGGAACGTGCGCAAGACGCCCCGATCTGCGAGCACGTGCCATTCTCGTCCTCGGCTTCTGCATCAACGATGATATCCGCTGATTCAACAGGATTCACGGTGAGGTCCTCACAATCCCAAACTGTCTCGCTCGTCTTGACCCATCCGATATCCATCCACATGTAGTTTGGGTTGCAAGTTTGGTTGCACGAGCTCCAATGGTCATTCTTCTTGTAGCACTTCGCCCCTGGCTCGGAGCAGCACTGGGACAGCGCGCAAGACGCCCCGTTGGGAGTGCATGGAAGCCGAATCTCCTCACAATCCCAAACTGTCTCGTTCGTCTTGGCCCAGCCGTCCACCGTCCACATACTGCTTGGGTCGCAGGTTTGGTTGCACGAGCTCCAATGGTCATTCTTTTTGTAGCACTTCGCACCAGGCTCAGAGCAGCACATGGTAATTGCGCAAGACTCCCCGTTCTGCGAGCACACGGAGACTGCCGCAGCATCGGAGCTACTCGCGGAATATGACGAACCATTTGCGTCAGCGGCATCAGTGGAATTAGCGGTACTGTCGGTGCTGATGACTTCGCAATCCCAAACTGTTTCGTTAGTCTTGACCCAGCGGTCCTCCATCCACATGGAATTGGGGTCGCAAGTTAGGTTGCACGCGAACCAGTAGTCATTTTTCTTGTAGCAACTCGCGCCAGGAACAGAGCAGCACTGGGACAATGCGCAAGACTCCCCAGGTTGCGAGCACGGCGGCCGAATCTCCTCGCAGACCCAGACTGTCTCGTTCGTCTCCACCCAGCCGTCCTCCTTCCACATGTAGTTTGGGGTGCAAGTTTGGTTGCACGAGAACCAATAGTCATTCTTCTTGTAGCACGTCGAGCCTGGCTCAGAACAGCACTGGGAAAGTGCGCAAGACGCTCCATTTTGCGAGCACGTGCCCTTTTCGTCCTCGGCTTCTGCATCAGCGATGGTATCCGCTGATTCGACAGGATTCACGGTGAGGTCCTCGCAGTCCCAAACTGTCTCGTTCGTCTTGACCCATCCGATATCCATCCACATGTAGATTGGGTTGCAAGTTTGGTTGCACGAGCTCCAATGGTCATTCTTCTTGTAGCACTTCGCCCCTGGCTCGGAGCAGCACTGGGACAGCGAGCAAGACGCCCCGTTGGGAGTGCACGGAAGCCGAATCTCCTCACAATCCCAAACTGTCTCGTTCGTCTTGGCCCATCCGCCCACCGTCCACATACTGCTTGGGTCGCAGGTTTGGTTGCACGAGCTCCAATGGTCATTCTTTTTGTAGCACTTCGAGCCAGGCTCAGCGCAACACATGGTAAGTGCGCAAGACTCCCCGTTCTGCGAGCACACGGTGGCTGTCGAAGCATCGGAACTACTCGCGGAGTCTGATGAAACATCAGTGGCAGCGGCAGTCCCAGCACCGGAGTCAGTCAAAATATCGGTACTATCGATACTGATGACTTCGCAATCCCAAACTGTTCCGTTCGTCTTGACCCAGCCGTTCTCCATCCACATGTAGTTTGGGTTGCAAGTCTTGTTGCACGCGAACCAGTAGTCATTCTTCTTGTAGCACTTCGCGCCAGGATCAGAGCAGCACTGGGTAAGTGCGCAAGACGCCCCGATCTCCGAGCACGGCGGCCGAATCTCCTCGCAATCCCAAACTGTCTCGTTCGTCTTGACCCAGCCGCCCTCCTTCCACATGTAGTATGGGTTGCAAGTGTGGTTGCACGAGCTCCAATGGTCATTCTTCTTGTAGCATTTCGCGCCTGGTTCAGAACAGCATTGGGAACGTGCGCAAGACGCCCCCGTCTGCGAGCACGGGTCGGTCTCGTTGGGATCGGCGCCACTCGCATCGCTGGCAGCCTCGACAATGATAGCCGCGGGAGAAGCAAGAGTCGCAGCCCCCGTGGAGGGCCCCGCGCGCCAAGCCACAGCCAGCAAAGCCAGCGCCGCCGCGGCCGCCGACAGCGCCGCCGCCCTGGCCAGAGCGCGCTGCTCGCGCGGCGCGCGCCGCGCCCGCGCGGGGGCGATCACTCCTGGCTCGCAGTCGCTCTCGAGGGGGCTCTGGAGCAGCACGAACTGGCTCCTGTCCGCGCGCATGGCGGGCGAACGATCGAGCTGCAGCAGGCGCTTGTCGGGTGGGAGCGCGGGCCCCAGGCCTGGAGTCAAAATGACTTGAGCCAAAAACAATTGCTTGAGCCAAACGGCTTGAGCCAAAATGGCTACGGACATCCAACTTTTTGTCTGTGAGAGCTGCTTCAGAACACCGGCGAGGCTGGGTTCCATCACCCGCGACGTCTCGGCATACCCCATGGCCTATCCTTGCCGACACATCCGCCCACAGTGGCCAGCAACACACAATTGAATATCCCCTGGAGCATGCTGGATTGTCACATCGGTCGGGATATCGCCATCACATGAGTAAGCAATAGTAGAGACCCGCAGCAGCGGATAAGCAAGAGCGGGACGGTGGGATCGCAATCGTGCGCGCGCGTGCTAAATGTGTACATCAATGTCTTGTCTGGTGCTCTGGTGGGACGGACCCTTACTGACAGCCCTGGCATCCCCTTCCTTACCCCCCCTACCCCCCCTGACTCCCCCTACCCCCCCCCCACCCTAATAGCTGCCCTGACCAAGTCCCCAGGGTAACTCCTGCGGCGACCACGAAACGGACGCGCGCTCAGGCTAAAGTAAATTCAACCGCCCCCCCTCTCTCTGATGACAAGTGGCGCTAGGGCCTCGGTTGAAATCGGACATGTCTGTGGGCGCGAGATGCGCCGAAGCGTGTTGTGCGTGCGTGCTGGGAGCCCGGGCAATGACGAGCAGGATGAAGATGAATGGGAGAAGGGGAATGAGGGGGATCAGTGGGATAGGGAGGAGGAATGGGTTCGTCTGGAGCGCGTTGCAATATTCGCGGCCATAGCGCGCGTTATGGGGGGTGGCATAAAATAATGCCCCCCCCCTCGCCGTGTGGCTCCGGCACCACCGCGCCTGTGAGCAATACAGCAAGCACCACGCAGCACAGTATGCACCGCCGCAGCCACGTGCACCACATCGCCTACGTACTGCACAGCGCGTACTTGCACCATCGTGCAGCACCACAGTGTTTGCAGCCTGTTTCCGATGCGTTTTGCACGCGTGCACCATTGCTTGCGTGTACCACAGAGCCTGCGTGCACCACAGCAGCTGCGTTCACCGCAGAGCCTGCGCGGATTTCTTGGATCTGTACTGAACCCCCCCCCCCCCCGCGCGGGGTGCGCCAGGGGCGGCGCATGAGGCGCCGCCAGGGGAACCCAGGGCCGACCCCAGAAATCCCCAAGGAGCTCCGAGAAGTAATGTGCATGCCATTCTTCTTCGACCCTCTGAAAATCTTCTGCCTCAAGAGCTTGACATACAAGCGTGCATAATGCTTTAAACATACAGCCACCCGCGGTCTAGAACTACGACGACGACAGCCACTACAACAATCGTGACGACGAACGCGACGACAACGACGACCACGCTCAGGCAACCAACGCCAACCAGGACGACTACTACGACTCCGATCCCAACGACCACACGACGATGACCACGATACGACCGCGACGACGACCACAACGACAACGACGACGATCGCGACGATTACGAATACTACGACGACTGCGACTGTCACGACGACGGTCACAACGACGACCACACGCAGACGACGACAGCAGTTACGACAAACACAACAACGATCACCACGACCACACGACGACGACGACGACGACGACGACGACGACAGCAGTTACGACAAACACAACAACGATCACCACGACCACACGACAACCACGACGACGATTACAAGGACACCCCATTCCACTCTCCAACTCCTTCTCCTCCTCTTCCTCCTCCTCCTGATATCATTTTTATTGCTGCGACTGTTGCCACTTCTTCTGCTGCCAATGCCACTACCACACTCCTTGCGGCCCTGACAGCACCAGAGAACGGAGTGAACCCCGCGCGTGTGCGCAAAAACTTCTGGACCCTGCATGTGCGACAATAGCCTGCGCGCGCAACACAATGTCTGAGAGCGCGAACAATGAGCATGTCAACGCCACGCTAGACCGTGAACGTTAAAGTAGCCTGTAAGCACCACAATAGCCTGCGAGCATCAGAATGGCAGTGACGGAGGCGCACTACGGGGGGGTGGAGCATTGCGTTATGGGAGGGGGGGGCATAACGCCCGTTATAGCCAACAGGATTTAAAGACACGATCCTGTACTCGCGTAAGGAACGCGCCCTTACTCAATCGACGGACTGATCCGACGCTGACATGATCGAGTGCATAGGAGAGTGGGAGGAGAGAGTGGGGGGAGAGGGGATGAGTTGAGGAATAGGCAGGAGGGGGGGGGGAGCAGGATGGAGGACGAGCACGCAGGACGACCCAGATGACGAGGAGGATACGTCGTGGAGGATGGTGATGCACAGCCTACGGCTTCGGAGGACAAGACAGCAGCCCGAGACCTGCGAGCCCAAACTGAGAACCCATGGTGTCGGACGAAGAGCGAAGAGCGAGGGGGGGGCACCAGAGGCTGGGCTCAGCGAGTCACCCCACCTAGAGGCCAGTGCATCGAGGAGAGAGCCCGGCGGCGGGGCTCAAGCCGCCTGCACGCGGCAACTTTCGCACCCCCCTCTCGAGTGCGCCGAGGGGGGTCACAGAGAGTGGGGGTGCGCAACGTGGCCCGAGGCATGCGCGCGCGGACCAGGGCGGCCAAGGGATGCGTTGAAAGAGACAGACGAATGATTAAGAGGAGCCGGGCGTTGCGTAGTGAGGTGCGATAAACGGGGGGGACGAAGGAACGTGCACCCTTCATGCAACTTTTGGGTCCCAGGGGCTCTCTAGGACCTAAAAGGTGCACGTATTCTTCGCACCCCAATTGTATCGCCCCCCCATGACGTAACGCCCAACAGAAGAGGGGGCCGTGAAATCTGGGGAGATGTCATGGCTCCCGGATATGTTATCCATCCCTCCCTAACTATCACCCCTTCTTGAACTTCCCTATCTCCTCCTTTTTCCTCCGAGCTGGCTCCGGCAAGAAATGCTTGCCCCTCCCTCTTCACCACGCTGTGAGGCCTCCCACCTGGGGTCCGAGCAGATGGGTCCCCAGGATCGCCGATGGATCACCGATCTTAGCGTGGAGAAAGTGGGGCTGCACATCGAGCCGAATCCCCGATGCATCGGCGATGCGAGCGATCCTCCGAGCCCACCTGCTCTGGCCCCACCCTGGAGGCCCGGGTACACCGCTAGCGTGCACCCACAGGCCCCATGAAGCCACGCACTGTAGTCCAAAACCAGGATAGCAGAGAGAAGCAGGGCGACCTGGCAAGCTTGCAAAATGCTGTGGGAGACGCTCGCCAGGGAGTTGGAAATCATGCCTGGGGAGCTTGCAGGCCCCAGAAGCGAGCTTCCAAGGAGCTTCGATACAGTGTCGAAGGACCTTCTGGAGAGCTTCGGGGCACGCGTATTGGGAACGAGTAGGAAAACGCTTCTCGGGGCACGCTGCCGGCTCAAGCGAGTCGCTCCAGGGATGCCTGACCGGGAGGCTTGGAGAGGAGCTGGCGTAGCCCTTGCGACCAGCTTCTTCTCTAACAACCCTTTTACCTCTCACAAGGGGCTATCCGGGAAAACAGGCACCGTAGACGTCCAGCTCGCTCCTCCACGCGCGCGGACGGGGCTGTCCAGCTGGCGCTCGGGAGCGAGCGCCACGAGATCATTACGAGGAGGACGACAACGCCTTGAAACATCAAGACGATAATCTGTCATTTTCTCGGCCACCTGAGGGGCCCTCGCTGAGCCTCGGGGCCGTCAACCAACTACTCAGAATGAGAAGCCAACAATGGAAAAGGGTCGGAGACTTCTGGAGACTTTTTATTGGTAAAACCAAGACGTCAGATGTTTGAGGGGGGCACATCAGCGTCAGATCGCGAAGAGGAGTTTTGGCAGTGGACCGCTGCTGGTCGAGTTTCTGAGGAGATTGGCCAAGCTGGGACAAGGATGAGGAAGCCAAGGAGGAGGAGGAGGAAGGGAGAGAGGACAAAAGAGAAGGAGCTCTGCCGCTCATCCCAGATCAAGGAGCTTGGCCCTGCCCAGCCGGAGAGCCGCCTCCCCCAGCCCCCTGTCCTCATCTGACATAATGGGCGCGCCGCGGTAGTACGCGATGGAGGCCTTTCCGCAAGGCGGCGGCCCCAATCGCGGCGGCGAACTTCCTCCCCTCCGCCCCCGCCTCTTCGCCTCCGCCTCCCTGCGCCTCCTCCTCCCCCTCATCCTCCCCCTCATCCTCCTTCTCTCCTCCTCCTCCTCCTCCACTCCTCCTCCTCCTCCTCCTCCACCTCCTCCTCCTCTTCCTCATCCTGCGCTACCTCCTCCTCCTTCTCCTGCGCCTCCGTCCACTCCCCCCCCCTCCTCGCAGCTGGTCGTGGCTGTCGTCGGTCGCTGTCGTGTGGTCACGGTGGTTGGCCGTGGTTTGTTGTGGCGATCGTTGTTGTCTTGGCTGTCGTTGGTTGCTCGTTCTTGTCGTGGCTGTGGTGGATGCTGCTTTCGTGTCTAGCATGCTGCGGTGGCCATTGCTGGCCGTGGCTGTCGTTGGTAGCGGTCGTTGTGGCTCGCCTGTCGCGGTTGGTCCTGGTTGCCAGGGCTGGTTGTGAATGGCGTGGTTGTCGTGGCTGGCCGCAGCTGACCGCGGCTGTTGTGGCTGTCGTGGCTCGTGGCCCGTCCCCCAATGCTTGTCGAGGTAAGCGTCGCGGTGGGCTTGCTTACTGGAGTCGGTGGCACGGCTGTCATGGTTGTCGTGGTGGTTCGTCGCTCGTTGTCCTAGCGTCCAGGGTGGTTGTTGCACGTGGCTGGTTGTGGGCGTGGTCGTTGTCTTGGCTGTCGGTCGCTGGTGTCCCTTGTGGTGGCCTTTCCTGTCGTGGGCGAAGGGGCTTCAACTTGGGGCGAGGGAATGTCCTGGTGCAGTAGCTGGTGTCATGGTGCCTCCTGCTGCAATCATGGGGTGGTTGTGTATAGTCGGAATGAAGGGGGCCAACCTAGGCTGTGTTGGTAATAACCACTGCCGAAGCAAACCAGGTACTTGTGAACTGAGCTGGGCGCCATCAGAGTGCCTCATAGTGCTCTCAGATTATGAATATGGCGTAACGCGAGGGTAGTATATGCACTCG